GCGAGTATCGAATGGCTTAAACTTAAAAAGATGTGCAAATTATACAGTTTCGTGACGATGCAACAATGGCTCGATTAGGCAAGTGACAATTCTGTCGACTGTCCCGAAACCCGAGCAAAAGTCTTGTATGGCAGCGTGCAGTAGTGCAGACGAGATGCGCTGTTGTGAAGCCGCTTTGAGAGTGAGAGAAGACGCGGTACAGCTGAATCACTCACGCTGTTTTCGAATGACTGATTGACATCTAACCTACATGCTCAATTGAATATGTTTGCAGGAATTTCCCTCATTATAAACTCATTATAAACTTCAGTTGTATATAAAAAAGTATTTTTCATTGCAAAAAGATTAATCAGGAATGGAATGAGACAAGCACATGGCATTGGTGACACCTGAATAAAAACATTCATAATTCTACTCAGCTGAAAATATAGGAATATGTCTGATATGCGTTCATAAAAAATAAAAAAAACTGCTTGTAGGAATATATTTTTCTACATTTTATATTTTATAAAACAAAATAGGGTCAATAATATTCTGGGAACACAAACATTTTCGATAGTCTGTTTTCGTTTTTCCATACTTTTCTAGGTCTGGAAAATACTAAAATCAAATTCCATATCTTTCATACTGCGTAGGAACCCTATGTGTAATACATGATCATTATTCACTGCACCACTCTTATTGTTCAGTAGCTCAATTTCTCATATATGATATTTAGGGTATAATGGAAAATGTTGTGGTTGGCCTTCTTGTAACGAAGGCGAAATAAAAAAAATGTTTGCCAAAAGTCCGACCGACTTTTTAAATAACATCAAACTACGAATCTTACTAATGCAAAGGTTTAGCTCGTGAATATTAAATTGCTTGGAAATTTTACGGGAGATTCCCCTTTAATTAATATTCATGAGACAAACAGCAGCCAATCATCAATCAATTCATACATCAGGTCCTCCCCCACTGTAAATGTACATATTTAAATGGTTTCCACCTTCTGCGTCGCCTACAACTCATTTATTTGCTTTGTTCAAGAGCAGGACGGAGTGAAGACTGACATCTTTCAAGTACTGAAGTTGATGCCGAGTCAATAACGCGTTTCTTGACCGAAGGTAAGCAGTCGATAAGGTTTGTGGCATCGCGGAATGTTAGCTCATGCTAACGCTAGTGCGCTGTACTAAATCTTAGCCTGATTGTCCAGTTAAGGTCAAAGTCCGACCGTGCTCTTCGATGCGGACTCCTTTTGAATGTTTTCCCTGCTTTGATCGTCCTCATGTTGATCGCAAATGGAGAAAGCTTTCCAGTCCAATCTGTAACACACGGACTGTCAAACCGAAATCATGTGAACCTGACTTTTATAGCATAATTGTTTTCAAAGTTAAGACGGTTGTTGTGCTTTGGAACCAGCTGGAACTTGGAACTAGATGGATATATGCGTGTGTGTATGGATGTTGATGCATACATAACGTTGCATACACAAAATGCATTTGTTTTCCTTGCTTATATTTTTACAGAATATTAACAGGGCAGGTTGAACATTGTGAAAGTTCTTTATAATTACATCATGGAGACTGTGTTTATATGTTATACATTAAATTGATAGAATTCTTAGATTTAAAGGAAGTAGTAATTCAGGATGGAAAGTTATTTCAGTGCTTTTTAAGGGTAGTTTTCATTCAGTTAAAATGCTAAGCTATAAAATGACAGTAGCAGAAAAAAAGTCCTGCAAGTTTCTAGGAATTTTCTAATGCTTAAGTTTTGGGCAAGACGTCTTTTGACTCTTGGAGTGGCATGTTGTGATGTGTAGAAAGGTGATAAATGTCATGCTCATGTCAAGAGGTGATGACATAAGGCGCAGTCATTCCACTTGATTACAAAAAGATGTTACATTAGACATTTGAAGTGTAATGTCCATGATGTACAATCACATGATGCAAAGATGATGATTTAAGTTATGTCCATGTCAGTGTAGTCGGGACCGATGAAGCAGTTATTTGATGAGAACCAGGGTGGATGTTATATCGGAATCACCTTACACATGCTGGATGCGCTGTTCACATGTGACTGACGAACGCCTCTGTCTCTTAAAGTGACAGAAACTCTGAAAAACTCTCGGTTATAATTTTTTTTTTTTTTTTTTAAACATTCCTAGCTTTGCAATTCTGGTTCAGAGACTGTAGAAATCCGTTCAGTGTTTGTCATTGGTGGATGTGAGTCATGCGCAACAATATAAACCCAACACACAGGAGGTTTCATGGAAGCTATGGAATGTTCTGATGATCAGCCCTTCAGGTTCATGTCCTGGTGACTCAATTTGATATCGGACCGTTGTCGTGGAAATGACACATGACCTCCTTCGTAACCGCATTTCTGAACAAGATAATGGTTTTAAAAACTTTGCAATAATTACACAAAAGCGTGTATCACCATTATTGCTCAATCTTGCCTGATCTTTATTGATCTGAGCAACCACATATCAGCACCCTAACAACCAGACGTAACAATTTACAAACATTGCTTTAGAAAATGTAAAAGTCTACTAATTAAATTGTTGATATTTTGTTGTTGGCGTTCTGTTTTCTGCAGAGCCTGAGTCAAAGCTTTGTAATAATAATAATTATTATTATTATTATTTTATAAAAAGTCTCTTATGCACTGCATTTATTTGATGAATTGCAGTAATGTTGTGAAATAATATTATTACTAATTACTATATATTATTACTTAATAAAAAAAATTTAAATTTATTCCTGTGACAAAAAGCTGTATTTTCAGCATCTGTACTTCAGCCTTCAGTGTCACATGATCCTTCAGAAATCATTCTAATAATGCTGATTTGCTGCTCAAGAAACATTTCTTATATTATCAATATTGAAAACAGTTGTGCTGCTTAATATTATATCAAGTTTGGGGTAAGATTTAATAATAATAATAATAATACTTTTATTTAGAGAGGATGGATTAAATTGATCAAAAGTAGTGACAGTAGAAGAAGACATTTATAATGTTACGCAAGATTGCAAATAAATGATGTTCATTGAACTTTCTATTCTTCAGGAATCCTGAAAAAAGGTATCATGCTTCTCACAAAAAAATATTAAGCAGACATTTTAATGTTGATAATAATAATAATAATTATTAATAATTGAGCACCAATAATAACTGATGATAACTGAGCAACAAATCTGTATATTAAAATGATTTGGGAAGGATCGTTATATAACACCGTTATAAAATTTCACAATATTACTGTTTTACTGTATTTTTTCTTCAAATAAATGTAGCCTTGTTGGGCATAAGAGACTCCTTTCTTAATTATTCCAAACGTTTGACTGCTAATGTATACATATTTGTATTTAATTTTGACAGATTTTTTTTTTTTGGTTACAGCAATAATGGCCCACTCAAGTCAAGATGGCGAAATTGTACCTGATGATGGATGGTCATCCATGCATAATCGTGTGAATTCCTTCCAGCACTTCCCCCGTTCTGAAGAATTTTCAGCCGGGCGACTGGCCCGGGCAGGCTTTTATTTTACAGGTCAGGCGGACAGGGTGCGCTGTTTCAGCTGCCGTGCGACAGTGGAGGACTGGAACAAAGGGGACACCCCACTGAATAGACATCAGCAAGCATCTCCCGACTGCACGTTCCTCAGCAGTGCTCACGGCTTGCGAACCTCCGACTTCATTCAAAGCCCCGTTTACGACGAAGAGGCCGAAGCCAGGGAGTTCCAGCTCCGCACGGGAGAGGTGGTGGATCAGACCATTTATCCCAAGGTGCCACACATGAAGAGCGAGGAAGCTCGGCTGAATACTTTTAGTGACTGGCCGGCAGACGCTCCAGTTCAACCCGAAGACCTGGCAGCAGCAGGGATGTATTACTTAAGGACAGATGACATGGTGCGGTGCTTCTGTTGTGGGCAGAAGCTGAAAGGATGGGAGCCAGGCAATGATGCCTGGGGTGAACATGCAAAGAACTGCCCAAACTGCTTCTTCATCTTGGGCCACGATGTGGGCAATGTGCCGCTGCCAACACATAGACCCAGGGTGAATGGGCAAAGAGCCTCTGTGGAGACTTTTGAGGGGCGTCTTGATAGCTTCAGAGGCAGACAACATCCCATAGACCCCGAGAGACTGGCCAGAGCTGGTTTCTACAGCACAGGTAAATACTGTTATGATTCTCCAAGCTTATTCAGTTATTTATACTGAATAAAGTAATCCTCTCAAATAGCTTTTAGAGAAATAGCTTTGTTTGAGATATATATATATATATATATATATAGGCCAACCTGGAAGTTAGCATCACCCTAGTTCCCATAACAAAAACCCCATAGGATTTTTCCACTGGCTTTTTGGATTATTGCAAAAAAAAAAAAGCTCTGTCACCAACAAAAGTTCATGTTTCTTAAAAGTTTTGTTCATCATGATAGTCTTCACAAATGAACCCAACCTTCTAGGTTTCTGGGTTTTGGCCTTTAAAAATGTGTCATCCTTGCAGCACTCTGTTGGAAGAAAGTGAACAAACTGTGATGTTTGATCGTATAGGAGAACAGGACCGTGTGCTCTGCTTTAGATGTGGAGGAGAACTGAAGATCTGTAGGCCTGATGAAGACCCTTGGGAGAAGCATGCCAGGCACTATCCAGGGTAAATTGCTTTTTCACACATTGAGACACTGAGGTGCATTTGCATGTTCACCACAAAATTGTACTTAACGTCCAGGCTGTTCTTTTGCATACAATGAATGTATATGGTAACTGCTGCTGTCAAACTCTAAAAGCAACAAGAGAAGTAGGAATGCGCCACTATTAAATTCTGGCTGATGGCAAAAATAGTTTTGTTGAAACTATAGGCTGAATAAGTAGAATCTAATAATTCTATAGTATTTTATATTAAAAAAAATTTTTTTTTAGATAAAACATTAAAAACTGAAATCTGTCGTTTAAATGTGAATTTGGGAGTCACAATATTATAATGTACCAGTATTATTTTAGTATCATTTATATACAATTAATAGTTTTTGTTAATGTTTTAAATTACATTTTTATATTTTCTGTTGTCACTTTCATTTTAGTTAAGCATTTTTAGGAATTTTGTTGTGTTTTTGTGTTTTAGTATATATATATATATATAATGTATGTGTGTGTATGTATCTATATATAGTTTTATTTTTTAATTAATTTGTTTTAATTAGTACTTCAAGTTAAAAAAATTTTAATATAATTTATTTTAAGTTTCATGTTTGTCAAGTAACATTTGTTTTATGTTTTTATTTTTAGTTAACGATAACATCCATTTTCATACTGTACATTATAGGGTTATTGATTTCAACATTCACTAGAGATAACATTTTAAGTGTTAAGTTATTTGTTAAAATAAGTGTACATCATACGATGGCTAAAGGCATACATATATCCAATATTAACTGAAACAGCCAAATTATAGTCTCTTATATTATCTGATATGGTACTGATATATTGTGTATCCCTGAAGAAAATTAGTCCATATGACTTGAGGAATGGACCAAAGTTGACGTCGTTCTGTGAAAATCATACTTTAAAAATCTTGCCTTTTATGTTTGATTGAACTGTTCTTAATCCTTTCTGATATTTAATTCTAAAAACACACTTAAAGTATATAATATTTATCAGTATATTTTAGATATATATCATGTGAGGTAAGCATAAACCATGGTGAAAAATGTGGTGTCTAATTGTGAAATTATTCTAATTGACCCCCAGCTGCAGTTTCCTTCTGGCAGAAAAAGGAGAAGAATATGTCAACAGTGTGCAGCTGAGAAATCCAAAAGGAGATCATTCAGTGAGTCATTAACTTTACTTTACACAATCATGTGTACTTAAGTGAATGTGTTGAATGTAGGGCTGTCACTAATGATTATTTTGACGATTGAATCGAGTAATCGGATAATTTTTTGTGGTAATAAAAATGGACCTAAGCGAACAGTAGACTTTAAAATGACTTAAAATACCTATATAATAGCAATGAGGCAATAATAATTGGTACAAATAAAATGTCAAAAGCAAGTAATCATGGTTTTATTGAACAAAACAGTTAAAATATATAATGCAATAATAGCCTATAATCACAGCTTATGTACGTTATGTATTAAATCAAATGCCTGCAGAGGGTGCCAACGGCCTGTGTAAATTGTAAATTGTTTTTACACGTTACAGCGCGATCTAATCCTTGTTTAATATTGACAGCAACATTTAATGACATCAAATGTCCATATAATCTTTAATATTTGACCACTTCTTTATGATAGAAATGCTACAGCCACTGTCATTTCTTGAACAAGAACATGTGGATATCAAAACATGCGAACTCAGAGCGAGGATTTAAACTTTTATTTTGAAGTGGCAATGAACAGTTTGCATATTTAGAAAGATAATGATGTATTCTCCTGCGTTTGCGTAGGTTTATAATTGATTTACCTTATAAATCATATAGAATGGTGCACATAAAGCAACTCAGACTCACAGCATATGCAAAGTTTGAGACGGTTCGCGTATGTAAATGATGACTGTTTGTGTGGAGCAGCATTTACTGTGAACGGAGTTGCTTTGAGATGCCCGTAACCTACACGCATATAAATAAAGCGTGTATTAAACCCCGCAGCGCATCTATTTATTTAACTGAAACGCAGCCTTTGTGAATTCACAATAGCATTATGCTTTATTATGATTTTTAAATGGTTTTAATATTTCGTGCAGCCTTGGAAAATGGTCTAATAATACTTTGCGTGGATTCTCATCCGTGGAATGCGCCACTTCCAGTATTTTGCCAGTTAATCGATATGGGCAAAATGCAATCGTGGATTTTTTTTAAAAATCGAGTACTCCGATTTAACTGAGGAATCGTGACATCCCTAGTTGAATGAATGGAATTCAGAATGAAAACAGTCCTTTTATTCTGATATATATATATATATATATGTATATGTGTGTGACTGCACTGTGTAGTCTTACATGCTTGTAATTTTCCCTCACAGAGATCAAGTCAGAATGGCTTTACAAGTCATGTGCGTGGTAAGCATTTCTGAGTTTATTTTACTTTCAAATCCAATGAAGCCATAACCATTTTTATAACTGCTGTCTGCAATATCGCTGGAAACATCCTGTCTTCACCAGATATTTATTTGATCTCTACTTTCTGTTCAGCAGCACAGAAAGTCTTGCAGTCAGAGATTGCACAAAAGGCTGTAGATATGGGTTTTGACCCCATCAAAGTGGAGCGCACCATTCTGCAGAAATTACGTCAGAACACAGAGGGTTATGCTTCAGTAGAAGCCCTTATTGAAGACATCAGTGCACAGGAGAGTGCTAGTACCATGCCCGAGAAAGCTGGTAAGTGCTTGTTTTCTTTTTTTATTCATTTCTTCGAAAGTCTGTTTTGTATGCAAGGGATTTTTAAACGAAGTGTATCAAGTGAATTCCAACTCAGTTTTTCCCAAAATAAGGCCATGCTTTAGGTTTTGCTAAAAAAAAAAAAAAGTGTATTTACACTTTGATTACCAAAAATAAATTCCTTTAAATTTAATACATTTTGTGAAAATCTATTTATAGTTCTAAATGCTTCAAGTATATTGCAGAATAAAATGTAGTTTAATCATACACTTAAAAATAACATACCACACATTGTGCAGATTGACAGCTTTTGAACATCACAAAATAAGATAAATATAGTAAAATAAGCAGAGAACCACTTGTTATTGTTAATATTTATTACGGTGAATTCTTTCATTCTGTTATTGTTGTTTTAACGATGCGTTTGTTTCTTACATGTTTTCTATAGAGGACCCCATGACGAAACTTGAGAAACTCCAGAGGGAGAAACTCTGTAAAGTATGCATGGACAGTGACATTAACATTGTCTTCATTCCTTGTGGACACCTGGTCACTTGTCAGAAATGTTCAGAATCCCTGAACAAGTGTCCCATCTGCTGTGCCGCAATCACACAGAAGATAAAGACATACAATGCCTAAAAGACAAAGAAACCAGCAGTCCAAAAGAAGCACTGATGTTTATTGAAAGTTTCAGAATGTAATCCTTTCCAAAATTGCACATAGATGTGTAAAATAAGCTGTATATATATGTATATGTGACCAGGAAATTAACGTTCTTAGAATTGACAAGACAGTTGACCCTGAGAGGTCAAGTAAATATCTACAGCGGATCTAAAATATTCATAATTAATTATAACTAGTTATGATTAATTATTCATATTTCCCATGAGCTGATTCGTTACATATGTGTGTATGTAGGCATACATATGTAGATGTGCTAACTTGTATAAAATTATATCATTTTATTTTTTCATTAAGAACTCAAAATAACAAGCTGTACATTCTCATGTGTTTGCTTTTGATGAAGGCAGGGACACGCTACATAATTTAACTTGGAATATACTGCAGGAAAGACATCATTATTATATATACTTTTTCATACCCCTCAAATAGCTGCTTCCCTCAAATACACAGCCTCAGATTGATGTTAATTACCCTAGTGCCTTTATGTAGACTACTTTTTATGAACATTACCATTGTAATTTAGCAATCATGTTTTACAGTGTACCTTATATTTGATCTTTTATTTATTTATTATAAAATAATAATTGCTTGACACTTTTAATCATGTTCAAGGTTGATTAAACTTCAGTCAAACTTCTGATACTTTTCTGTTGTCATAATTCCTTTAATAATGACTTTATCATCCATTATAATGACAATAAAAGTGGAATTCAGGTGGATCTTTTCTCTTTGATCTGTCAGTTTTAAAATTCATGAACTGGAAAGTGAAGCTAAAAACCTTTATGCTCAGAAAAGTAGAACACAATTCTCACCATAAATTCCACCGGTTTACCAATTGTGTAGTTCACTTTATATGTCATTATATTATATATTATATGGATTTAGTAAGTGCTTCTCCAAACACTAAGTGACACATAGCAGTCAGATTATTATTTTTTTAATTATTAAATTATGTAAATGTATCAGTGTTATAATAGTTTGTGTATTTATTAAAAATACTTTTGTATTTTAATTTTGTTTACAATTAACAGCTCCAAGTGTTCTGATAAGAAAACAACTAAAATGTATTTCACAAATGTACAGATATACTGTATATATATATATATATATATATATAATAACCTTATCTATATAACCTTATAAAATGCCCCAGAAAATCAAACCTAGAGGCAAATTTTGCCCATTAATAATAAAATAGTTCATTTCTGACACTAGCGTCTACTGCACTGAGCATTTTGCACGTAAGGGCCTCGACCACTAAACGTCAGTCTCGAGCTCACTGCAATCCCTCCACTGAGCACTAGGTGGCAGCTCTACACCGGCAGTTTCTCTCTGAGTGATCGGAACAACAAACCGAACGGAGCAAGCGGGGTAAGAGCGTGTCCAAAACCGCCTCTGACCGCCACTTTCAAACTACATCCATGAAATAGCCGCGAATGCGCACTTTAAAGCCACTGGAGTCCATCTAGCGCTTCAAGAAGTCCTTATAAACAATCCGGAACCGGCCCTGACGATCGGGTAAGTGATAAAATGGCGGAGAGATTTATAGAAATTAGTGGCTTTAGGGTTATTTGGATGATGTGTTAGCCGCGCTAGCCTGGTAAGCGAGGGACAGGATACGAAACGAGCCGCCGTGCTTCCGTTGCCGTGTTTAAATAATATAAACCACCTCGCCGTGCTCATTGGGAATTTAAACAAGCGTATTATAGTTTCACGAACGAATGTAGTTTGTGTGTTTTGTGGCGTTTCATTGGTAAACAGCTAGCTAGCGGGCTAACCTTACCCTGCACAGTCAGGAACACAAATTGAGAGGCAAGATGGAGGACGAGGACGCGATGTTTTCCCCCCTTTTCCGAGATGGAAAAGCTGATGTCGCACCTATTATGCTAATTTCATCACATTGTCAATTTTAAACACACTCGCTGCCTATTTTTACTCTTTATATGTAAGCATGTGGTCGGTGCGTGTGCATAATGACTGGAAACGAGCGGAGCCAAAATGGAGAATCCCGAAAACAGCTGTGCTGGACTGACTTCAAGATGGAGATTTTTTCCCTCTTCTGATCGTGTTTTAAAGCGTTCCGTCAGACTATTGTGCGACTTTAGCCTGTATCTGCGCCAACAAGCTCGTCGTTTAACGGTGATAATTGTGCGTTGGAAGTAGAACACCGCGAGTAATGAAGTAATATCGTGGTAAGAAGTGCGACGAGGAGGAGTTTGCGAGCGTCCGCCTGATCTCAACACTCAACTTCACGTACTAGCTCCATACATTAGCAGATCCCATTATTTCTCACTTCTCTAGACCAGTGGGTCGTGACCCAAAAATGGGTCTCACTTCTGTTTTGATAGGGTGCTAAAACCATGCTTAATGAAACTATGTAATAGTGCTTATGTAGGGCAGCAAAATAAATGTTCCGATCAACTTTTAAAAGGGGGAAAAGAGACTTCCCATATCTTTTGTTGTTGACGTCAGAGGCAGTGCGTCCAATCAAACTTTACGGTATTTTGGCGCAAATTCATCTGTCACTCGGTAAAATAACTAATACTGATCCATTATTTGCTGCATGTTATTATGAAGTTAGCATAGGATGAATGGGACGTGAAGCTAACACGTTATTTGCGTAATGCAAGATCTGTGCAGTTCATTACGATATTTTAAAGGAGTTTTGTTTACTTGGCTTAGCGTACAAAGTAGGTATTTTAGACTATTATTATTATATGATAAGAGGAAGCGGATGCTCTAGACAGAATTTTTAATGTATGTAGAGGCTAGGTCCGGTTTACCATTGTGTGTTTTAATGTTTCCCCCCCCCCCTTCTCCGAGACGGAAAAGCTGATGTCGCACCTATTATGCTAATTTAATCACATTGTCAATTTTAAACACACTCGCTGCCTATTTTTACTCTTTATATGTAAGCATGTGGTCGGTGCGTGTGCATAATGACTGGAAACGAGCGGAGCCAAAATGGAGAATCCCGAAAACAGCTGTGCTGGACTGACTTCAAGATGGAGATTTTTTTTCCTCCCCATTCTGATCTTGTTTTTAATCGTTCCGTCAAATTGTAGCGCGATTTCGCGACTGTAGCCTGCATTTGCGCTAACAAGTTCGTCGTTTAACATCGATAATTGTGCGTTGGAAGTAAAACACCGCGAGTAATGAAGTAATACCGTAGTAAAAAGTGCGACGAGGAGGAGTTTGCGAGCGTCCGCCTGATCTCAGCACTCAACTTCACATACCAGCTCCATACATTAGCAGATCCCATTATTTCTCGCTTCTCTGGACCAGTGGGTCGTAACCCAAAAATGGGTCTCGCTTCTGTTTTGACAGGGGGCTAAAACAATGCTTAATGAAACTGTAATGGTGCTTATGTAGGGCAGCAAAATAAATGTGCCGATCAACTTTTAAAAGGTGGAAGAGACACTTCCCGTGTCTTTTGTTGTTGACGTCAGAGGACGTGCGTCCAATCAAACTTTACGATATTTTGGCGCAAATTCATCTGTCACTTGATAAAATGGTTAATACTGATACACTATTTGCTGTATGTTATTATTAAGTTGGGATGGGATAAATAGGACATGAAACTAACATGCTATTATTATATAAGAGGAAGCGGATGCTCTAGAGTCTAGACAGAATTTTTAATATATAGAGGCCAAGTCCAGTTTACAATTACTATGTATTTGACAGATTATAAACACAACTGATCCGTCCACACATTGGTAGCGAACTGGAAAGCAAGGGATGATTAATGGTGCAGTGTTAGTTTTGGGCTAAGCTGTCATTGTCATGCGCGTGTGTGTCACAATGGCTGTGGATAGATGCGTCATTTGGCGCCACTTTTTCTTCGAACGCATTGTCGAAGATGATGCCGTGGCTTTTGAATTCCCGCCTTATCGCCAAATATATAACATTGAGCTATAGTGCGTCTGTGCACCGCATATAAATGCTGCTTATTGTTACTTGCTGTGTATTACATAACTGTTATCTCACGTTCTCAGCACACGCTTTGCCGTGCATTTGGTGCAGCGAGGAACATCGTATTCGACATATCTTTTTTTTTTTTCGTGAATGATAATGTACTCTGTGATTGTGCTATTTAAATCTTATTTAATTCGCACACATTGAGGTGCTGAAAGCCACGCCTCTTTATGCACATATATGGTCGAATTCAAAGTGTTGCGGGTAATATAGAAAACTTGTTTTCTTTGGAATATTTTTAACAGAGCATTCATTAAACAAACTAAATGATCCGTTTGAAATAATGGGCAGTGTCTAAATGCGTCATTTTTACAGCGGTGGCCCGGTTCCTTCCTTCTCTCAGTCTCTCTCTGTTCATGTTTACGTCCACAAATGTTACTGCCGGGCTCTGATTGGATGCGGTGTAAAAAAGGGCGAACGTGTTACTTCCTTATATGGGCACAGAGGTAGATCTGAAGCTCCGGCTCTCGGAGATGTTTCCTGGAAACGGTGGAATCTTGATAGCCAATCAGCAAGGAAGCCGCGCGATATGACGGACTCAGCGAGCCACGCCCACTTGTTTTCATTCTCAACCGCGGGCAAATCTTCAGCGCACAGCCCAGAACAGCCTGTATCACTTTCATGCAGGGCCTAAAATTAACACTCGCCAAGCGCCAGATGCGAGTAAAAATCAGCGTTGGCGAGTATATGTAACAGTGTCAGTCGCTTTTACGAATTATAACAATGCAATGAAGTAAAAACAACAGCCAGTTTCAAAAGAGATTCGCTGTTTCTGACATAAGCGAATAAAATAATCTTTTCCGAAGACAAGATCATCGTGATT